ATGACCATAAGTAAGTGCATCAATGAAAATAGGTCATTGCTATTCTGAGGTTGGTCATTCAATCACATCAACAGTCCGATACATGGTTGTAAATTACCAAGCATACCTACTCTATTAAGATGAACAATAGGTAAATTTAAGCTAAAATGCTGATGCTTCTACTGGATTATCTGAAGATAAAGCCAAAGCAATTTCAAACTATTATTATGGACCAGATCAAACCCCCTGCAAATATATCAAGGAGATTGTTTAGAACTTAACTTTTATCTTATTTAAAGGCAAATGTAAGATGCTGTGCTCCAGGCGTAATTTGATTGGTCACACTACTTGGCTTTAAGCAAGAAAACACTTTATTCTTACCCCCAGTGAAAGTACAAACTAAAGAAAGAAGAATTGGTCTAATTTTAACTCAATTGGAAAACTTAATAGAATAATGGATTCTTTAACTATTAAACATCAAATGTTCCAAAATAGTAATACCCCATAAATATACCCTTGGCAAAGGAGAATTCAGTAAAATATATTAACCTTCATGTGAGTCTTGTAGACAGAGAGGGAATCCAAGCTTTTCAGGTGTTGCAGAGATACAGAGACAGCCAACTTCTAAACCCCAGGAACTACTGAAAGCTAAGCTAAAACCCTGGTTCTGTGGCAGCTTGACTTCACCCACTCATGCTGTTTTTATTGTTCTAACTTTAAAAAAAAGGCCTTCCATGCTGTTTACTTTATTGCTTTGGGACAGACCACTCGGTACATCTGTCTCAACCTCTCCCCATAACAAAAAATGACAAAATACACCTCTTAAAGCCATTGTATTGTCACACTATTAAGAACACATTACAACCTACTTTGCTCAATCTCGAATATTTGATTCTACCAAAAAAAAATTCTTCTGATTCAGCAAAGATAATTGGTCATTATCTCTATATTTATACCCATAGCCTTCAATAATGTAAAGGTCACTCAAAAGCTATACCATCAAATATCTATACCTTAATAACATTTCTCTTGCATTCAGTATCAAACGGTAAATGTTCAAGCCTGGATGTCGCTGTTACTGGTGCTATAACTTTACTTTCATACTTGTTTATCAATATATTATTTTTAACTGTGGTTGATATTGTAGCAGGCGTTGCTGGTTTTGTTCAATTCGAGAGAAAAATGTATTTTTGCATTATACTTCACTACATTTGATTTATATTGTAATTTTGATGAAGTAAGAGGTCTATTTTTAGCTTACTTTATGAATTAGAAACATGACTGAGTTACAAATTCACCATCTGCCTTAAATTTTATTTTTCACCCAGAGAAATTAAGAATTTATTTGCCATGAAATCCCAGTGCTTTGCTACTCGTTACAAGATTTGTAAAGCAAACAACCAAGGAGCAGACTGTCTAAAAACAACACAGAAACCATAGCAACTAAAGATATGGCAACAACCATGGCAAGATCTGCATGTCAATAATCATAGATCTGGGTTACTGTTTCTGCACTTGGTTATATATCGAACTCACATAATTATCTTGGTTACCGTTATCACCACCACCTTGTTGGAAACAATTTTCTTTCTTACATATAATATAGTTTTAAATTAATTTTATGCAATCACTAGTTTTAGGTTTTTGTTTTGTTCACAGGATGCAACTGTTACTGGCTAGACCAGCAATAATTGCTCATTCCTAACTCCCATCAGGAAAGTGGTAGTGAACTGCCTTCTTAATCCATCATCATCCACGTGGTCTAGGTACATCTGCAGCGGTGTTAGGGAGCAAATATTTGGTCCAGATAAATTATTATACGTATTTGCCTCATTCAGATCCACAGTTAAATCAGTATTGCCTTACAATGCCATTGAAATCAAACTTAATGAGAAATTTCATAGATAGTTAAATTACAGCTGAGGCTGTCCCTAGCCAAATTGAGTGAAAGAGGAGAGACTTAAATCCACATTAGAGCAGGATGGGGTGAGAGAGGAGGTTAGCTTAGTAAGCAAAAATGCAACTGAATGGATAATATAATCACATTGAAAAAGAAAGGGGTTTTTTTTGCACTTTTGGTGTGAAGGTGAGAACAAGTATTTGGGGAGCTGATTCATGGTGGACAAAAAAAAGTCAATGTTCCCTTTGCACTCCAGGATGATTCAGAACTATTGAGTAGAATCAATAGGTCCCTGTAATTCTTGAGGTGATCTCACCAGATCTGGAGATCAATGGCCAAATCGATAGTACATCAGATGCAGTCAAGTCTTTATGCTTTGGACTTCGGACTTGAGGAAGCAAATGAATGCAGAGATTTAGTTTGTTCCAGATTTGTGGTAAACAAGTGGTCATGGCCAGTGGCTGAGCTTGACAAGAGGAACGTGATGTACATGATATAATGCACACTGGTGAAAACTAGCAAAGGTAATCACACTGAGCTGGATGTCAGAAATGTCTGGGAAGATTATAATCTTCCATAATTGTAGTTATTGTGGAACTCCATTAGAAATACTTATTTCTAATGTTTGAGGGACAAATTTTAATTTGTTTAGAAAAGCCATGTTGGATGTTGACAGAATTGCCATCTTTACTCCAGATTTGGAAATGTAAATAGAAAGAAATAGAAAATTAAAACTGCGAGACAAAGAAAGAAAGGGGAAGTTGAAAGTGAAGTTCGAGAAAAAATAATTTGGCTTCACTATGTTGTTAGAAGTTGGCATGCTCAGAAGCCAGAGGCTGGAATTCCTCAATGTGACTTGGGACAAATTTACAATGAGCAGGTTTTAAAAATGCTAGGTAGGACCCAATTCCATGACTCCTCCAACAATCAGCAATCTTCAATGGCATGAAATAACAGCGCAAACTGCAAGACCACATCCGGTGCTTCTGACATCACCAGTTCCATTGCAGGGGCACATTTCAGATCCACTACTAAGAATCAGCCCAGCTTCGGAAAGTGGTGCAATTTATATGGATTCAGTTGCACTGTCAGACAGAAGGGAATGCCAGTCTGGAATCAAGGACTTATGCACAGTCAAGTTCAAATGTATAGCAAACCCGACATCTCAATGAAATGCTGTACGAGAAGTTATACACTTGTTTAATAGTGATTGATTTTACAGATTGTTTTCTTAAAAGTATCGTATCCATTGAACGGAGCAGTTCTGTGAAAGTGGAAACATCTGCAGATGCATTTGACTGCATTGTCCATGGAATAAAATATTCTTTTACACTGAACAATGTGAAATTCAGATTTGACAGTATCAGTGGTCCTTTGTGCTTTAATCTCTCCTTTGATTGACAGCTCAGATAACTAGTGCCTTGTTACAAAGTCTGAGTATTTGATTGAGCTCTTTGATTGACAGCTCATCAATCTATTTCAATGCTTTAAAGCTTAAACACATGGCTGAGCTCTTCAAATGAGTTCAAAAAGATCTAATATATTCAACCACGAAGGTTTTGTTGATAATCTGAGCAACGCAAACTCATTACAAATGCTCGGCTGATCCAGAGATCCTCAAATAGCTTGAGCTCAGCAGATTCATTGACATAGCAGTTGATGAAACAGTGTATTTTGTTGAGAATTTTTTTGGTCATTTAATAGGATAATAGTTTTCAAAGTTGTTTTTATAGATGGTTGATTGTTTATTTTGACAGGGTTTTAGGTATTTCAAAATCTTACAGGGATCATGAGTTCTGTAAGGAGTGGATACTGGATGATTGGGCATGGCAGGTGATGGGAATACTGGAGGTATGGAGGGGTAAGGACAATGAAGTGGTGTGAAGGCATTTAGCAGGGAGTATGTGGGGGTTAAATGGGGTCCACAGGAAGCATATGGGTTATGGAGTGGGTGAAGTATGAGTTTTATGCAATCTTACACTCATTTACCAAACCAGGGCAAAATCCCAATGAATGGACACAGGCTTTTAAACCTGCCCTGGAATCCACTCTACTCCTTTTATATCTCAGCCCACCGTCAAGATAGTGGACAGGCCTAGGAGGTGGGATCATGATGTTAAGCAGTGACCCAACTTATAATTTCAATCATAAAAGGAGAAAGTGGAAGAGAAATGATAAACTCAAAACCAAGAAAAAAAAAGCATATCAATCCAGAGTTAAGCTTGTAACAGTATTCCAGCTCAAGACTTTCTAGAAGATTCTGCAGCCACCATTGATACAAGCCAGCTAAGTGATCAGAGGAGTAAGCAAGAATACCTAAGAAGTACCAAGTGTATATCCACCACTGGAGCCCGGGCAGGATTTTTGGACGTTTTGTCAGTGACAGATCTAGAACTACAATGATGCAACATATTTCAAAACCAAGTATTGTCCTAAACATTATAATCCAATTTTCCAAATAGCATCAAATAGATACCAAAAAATGAGGCCTTGTCACTTGATAGTGTGGTTTTGAGACATCTTTCTACCATTGAAAGTATTCTTCTATGGGAGCCAAAAACACATCCCTTGACCAATGGTCTGTGAAAACATGATCATCCCAGAAGTGAATAATTAAGAGTCCCATACAACTAAAAATGACAGGAAAGTTCATGGGGCTGTGGGAGCTAATTTGAGACTATACAGCTTTGGAAAGCTGGCAGCCCCACCTGAAGAGGTGGGTAACGAAGACCGGCATGTTGTCTTAAAGATGGAGGCACGCTTCAAAATTACAATTGGTGATTGCCAAAGCCAATAGGTGTCTGGAGGTAAGCATGTAGCTGCTTCTGTACATCACCCACTTTCAAGATAGGGATACATCAGCCCACTGACTCGATGTTTTCACATTCAAAATTGCTCCCTGCCCTGACTTTAAACACATTTCAGCAGGACTGGGAACGTTCCCCCAATGTGAACCAATGAAGGACATGAATGACCATAAAATAAATGAAGTAAAAGCTACTTAAAATCTCCGTACTAAACTTCTACTGTTTGTTCTGTCTAGCAAGCCACAGAATATCAACTAACTTTCACAGGGAATGACAATATAATTAACTAACATTAAATAGGAAAGCAGTCATACCTGGAGTTTGAAGTTTCTTTGTCCTGGGAGGCTCCAGGTGCTTCAAATGAATTTCTTTGATGACAGCTCTGTTTTCTGGTCTCTGGAGATACAGAGTCGAGCTGAACAGTCTCACAAACCACTTGAAAACCCTTTGAATCATTTGAGTAAATGAATTAATTTTTGAACGATTACATTGCCGTGTTCACATCACATACAAATTATAGGGTATTCTAACTTTCAAGACACATCGCAATAACACAAAGGAAGTCTTGTAACTCAATGGGTAATGTTCCTGTCTCTAAGCTAGAAGTCCTAGGTTCAAGTTCCACACCAGGACTTGTTGGCCACAAAAGACACATCCATTATGTGGTTTAAGCAGTTGATGGTCAGCCTATGAACACATTCTCATTAGGGAAAAAATGGTGTGTGAAGATAAGAAATAAACAATAACCAGAAGAAACAATGAATCATTTGCAGTTATATCACTAGCCAGTTTACAGAGTTGCTAAAAGTAAAATGTAACATTTATTTACTTTCATACACATCATGGAACAAAAGAAAACACACAATGGTACACAGCATCAAAGCTGAATAAGGCACAGTGTATATCAAGTTCTTGAACTGAGTTCTGGTATCAAGCGTATGCTGAATCGAAGTTAAGTATTTGATTACATGTGCTTTCCCCTTCCATAAAGATTTTATTTGAAGAACTAAATCCATCAACAAACATATCCTCTCCTGCCACTGATTCAGCTTGATTTTTCTTCTCCTAAAGGAATCCTGTTTTATGTAACGATTCAGTTTAATCTCTATTTTAAGCAAGTTGTTAGAAATGTTAATATGGGTCAAAATTACCAGTCAATTCTACAAAGGAAAACTGGCCTAGATTTGAGTTTTTTGCTGATTTGATGTACATGAATCTCTAAAAAGGCTTTTCATAAAGTAGCATATAAAAGGATTGTCACCAATGTTAGAGCTCATGGAATAAAACGATACTTGCAGCATGGAGACAATAAATGACTGAATGATGAAAAAATGATTTATAAAAATGATAAAAAGAAATAGTTATGAACAGTTGTCATTCTTTGGACTGGAGGAAGGCGTACATTGGAGTTTCAGAGATAGTAGGAACTGCAGATGCTGGAGAATCTGAGATAACAAGGTGTAGAGCTGGATGAACACAGCAGGCCAAGCAGCATCAGAGGAGCAGGAAGGCTGACGTTTTGGGCCTAGACCCTTTTTCAGAAATGGGGGAGGGGAAGGGGGTTCTGAAATAAATAGGGAGAGAGGGGGAGGCGGATAGAAGATGGATAGAGAAGATAGGTGGAGAGAACCCCATTGCGAAGCCTCTTCTAAGGATGCCTACCCTCTCCACCTATATTCTCTATCCATCTTCTATCCGCCTCCCCCTCTCTCCCTATTTATTTCAGAACCCCCTTTCCCTCCCCCATTTCTGAAGGAGGATCTAGGCCCAAAATGTCAGCCTTCCTGCTCCTCTGATGCTGCTTGGCCTGCTGTGTTCATCCAGCTCTACACCTTGTTATCTCAGAATCTCCTGCATCTGCAGTTCCTACTATCTCTGAAACAATGTTAACCTCACTGTGAAGCCTCTTCTAAGATGCCTACCTGAAGAAGTTACCCCCCTCCCTCCAGAAAAACCTCAGTGGACTCTCCACCTATCTTCTCCTCTATCCATCTTCTATCCGCCTCCCCCTCTCTCCCTATTTATTTCAGAACCCCCTTCCCCTCCCCCATTTCTGAAGAAGGGTCTAGGGCCGAAACGTCAGCCTTCCTGCTCCTCTGATGCTGCTTGGCCTGCTGTGTTCATCCAGCTCTGCACATTGGAGTTTACCAGGTTTTGGTGTTGTCTGACATGATTTTTTTCATCCATATTAATTACGTATATCTGAATATAGAGCACTGTCTCAAAGTGGTGGATAAGCCAAAATTTGAAAATGATTTGAGTTGTGAGGAGGATCATGGCATAGAATTTATTAATTTTTGGTTAATAAGGCAAGCTTAATAGATAAATAGAGCTACAATCCCTGAGGAAGTAGTGATCATAACATGATAGAACTTAACATTCAGTCCAAGGGTGAGAAACTTGGATCAGAAGCAACTGTGGTTAATTTAAATAAAGGGAATTACAATGAAATGAGGATAGAGATACCTAATGTGAATTGGGCAGATAGATTAGCAAGAATGACAATAAACAAACAGTGGCAGATCATTAAGGACGTAATTCATGACTCATAGCAAAAATACATCCTAGTAAGGAGGAAAGATTCAAGAAGGGATAAACTAACAGTCGTTAACCAAGGAAGTTAAGGAAACTACTAAATTGAAAGAATAATCATATAAGGAGGCAAAAGTCGGTGATAGCCCTGAAGACTGGGATAAATTCAGAATCCAGGAAAGAAAGACCAAGAAGGTAATAAAGATGTAGCAAAATGAATTATGAGGATAAACTGATGAGAAATTTAAAAAGTGACATTTAAATATCTAAATAGGAAGAGAAGAGTCGAATTGAAATTGGTCACTTAAAAATAAATATGAGGAAACTGTTATGAGGAACAAGGGAATGGCAGAGGTGTTAAACAGATATTTTGCAAGAGTCTTTACCATGGAAGATACTTTGAATATCCCATTAATACTAAAGAATAAGGGGGAGGAATTAAGCATCACCTTCATTAGAGAAGTAGCATTAGACAAACCAATGGGGATAAAGCCAGGTAAGTCCCCTAGTCCTGGTGGCTTATATCCTAGGATCCTAAAAGAGACAGTGACAGAGATAGTGAATGCATCAGTTGTAATTTTCCAAAAATCCTTGGATTCTGGAGAAATACCAAAGGATTGAAAAACTGCCAAAGTAATACCCTATTCAAAAAGGGAGGGAGGCAAAATGTGGGTAACTATCAGTCAAATGGTCTAACATTTATTGTTGGAAAAGTATTAGCATAATTTATTATGGAAGTAACAGCAGAACATTTGGAAAATCATAACAAGAGTGAATAGAGGGGAACCAGTAGATGTAACACAGTGTGGAGCTGGAGGAACACAGCATGCCAGGCAGCATCAGTGGAGGAACACAGTGTTCCTGTGTTCCTCCAGCTCCACGCTGTGTTATCTCTGACTCCGGCATCTGCAGTTCTTACTATCTCTGAACCAGTAGATGTGTTGTATTTGGACCTCCAAAAGTCATTCAACAAGGTACCTCACAAAAGGTTAAGTCATAAATAAGAGCCCACAGTGTTGGTGTCGTATATTAGCATGGATACAAAATTGGCAAATGTGCAAGGAACAGCGAGTGAGGATAAGCGATTCTTTTTCAAGTTGGTGGCTGTGATCAGTGGGGTATCACAGGGTTCAGTGCTGGGACAGCAACTGTTTACAATCTATGCTAATGATTTGGAGAAAGGAAGTGAATGTAAAGTAGACAAATTTGCAGGCAACACAAAAATAGGTGGAAAAGCAGGTTGCGAGAGGGAGTGAAACAGTTTACAGAGAGACATTGATTGGTTAAGTAAGTCGGCAAAAAGTTGGCCAATGGAGTATGATGTGAGAAAATGTGAAGTTGTTCATTTTGGAAGGGAGAACAAAAGAACAGAATTTTATTAAAATGGGGGAAAAAAAACTGTCGAAAGCTGCAACACAAATTGACTTGAGGGCATTTGCGCAAGAAACACAGAACGCTTACACACAGATGCAGCAGGTATCAGGAAGGCTAATGGAACGTTGGCCCTTATTTCAAGGGGGTTTGAGCATAAGAATAGGGAAGTCTTACTGCAACTGTACATTGTGCTGGTGAGGCCATGTCTGGAGTACTGTGAGCAGTTTTGGTCCCCTTATTGAAGAAAAGGTACTCTCTAATTGGAAGCAGTTCAGAGAAGGTTCAACAGGTTGATCCCTGGTGAGAAGAGATTGTCTTATGAGCAAAGTCTAAATACATTGGGACTCTACTCACTGGAAGTTAGAAGAATGAAGGGGAATCTCATTGAAACATATAGAACAGGGTAAATGACGAGAGGATGCAACCCCTCATTGGAAAGTCTTGAACCAGAAGGCACAGTCTCATAATAGTTGGGAGCCAATTTAAAACTGAGATGAGGAGGAATTTCTTCTCTCAGAGAGAGAGAGTCTTCAGAAGTTCTTTCCACAGAGAGCTGTGGGGCAGAGTCCTTGTGTATAGTTAAGGCTGAGATACATAGATTGTTTATCAGTAGGAGAATCATGGATTATGGGGAAAGGGCAGGAAAGTGGATGTTAAGAGTGTCCAATCAGCCACGATCATATTGAATAGCAAAGTGCTCGTGGGGCCGATGGTCTACGCTGGTTCCTATTTCTTACAGTCTTATGGTTTAACACACTCAAACCTGTACATGTTTTGAACCTGTGACTTTAGTGTTGCTACCATCACACTTTAACCATCTGAGTTAACCAGCTGCCTCTCACAGCATCTTGGACAACAAGTGACAATGTGTGCTCAAATCACTGAAGGTGGCAGGACAGATTGAGAAAGTGCTAATTACAGTAAATATAATCCTGGACTTTGTACTTAGAGTACAAAAACAAAGAAGTTATGGCAAACTTCAAATAAAGCACAAATTGAGCCTTAACTGGAATACTGCATCCAGTCTGGAGCACACTTTATTCTGGATGTGAAGACATTGGAAAGAGTGTGAAAAATATTTACAGGAATGGTTCCAAGGATGAGGTGTTTCAGTTGCAGGGCTAGATTAGAAAGGTAGAACTGTTCTCATTGAAGAGAAAAAGATTAGCAAGAAATTTGACAGAAAGATTCAATATAATAAGGGCATCTAAATGAAGATGATGGAGAAAAAAAACGTTACTGTTGGTGGATAGGGAACCAGGAGGCATAGATTTAATGTGTTTGCAAAAGAAGTAATGGTGTCACGAGGCAACACTTTGTAGCACAGAAAGTGGTTAGGATCCAAAACACAGTGCCTGGGAGTATGGTAGAGGCAGATTCAATAAAAACTTGCAGAATAGTATTGGATATTGCTTGGATAGAAAAATATCAAGGGCAATGGGGAATGGCAGATAGTTGCGACTAGATGAGTTATTCTTATGGAATGCAAGCATGGACATGGCTAAATCTGTTATAATCATTCTATAACTTCCTTTATTCAAGCTGACAAGTCATCTATCAAGGCTTTATAATCTTTAAACATACTGAGTCAACTATCAATACAATTGCAACCCTAAAACAAATGAAAATCAACCTGAAGGTCTTGACAGGTTCTTCCTTTCCAACACTCTGACTTGGGTACTATGTCAAAGTTACACCAGTGCCAAAAAAAGAAAACGCTGTAGAAAATTCATCCTTAATTTTTATTTTGCACTACTTATATTGTGACCATTCTTTAAGCCTGACTATATGTCCTTGCACATATTAACAAGGCTCAGAAAATCTATTCAAAGGAATTCACCTCGCAAAATTGAGAGTGGTCAGAATGGATGCATCCGCTTGCTGGGAATTGCCTTAGCTAATATCCTGGAGCACTCAAAGTTCAGACCATACCATCACATTTGTTCAATTTAGCCAAGTTGTTCAATATACAAAAGCTACTAAGCGCCAACTATAACCCAGGCAAATCATTTCTGCATTGTTTTGCTTTACAGCAAGTCTCTTTTCTTGATGTGACATGTATGGGTAAGGGAAATATGCCAACATAGTATATATTGCAACAATATAAACTATTATGTAGTCATACCTGGTGAAGAATGTTAATTAATTATCCAGAATGTGAAAGAATCTGCACAATTAAACACACGGATGGAAGTTAAGATACAAGATATAATTGAATGGCAGAATACACTCAGGAGGCTAAATGGTTGATTCTTACTGGTATGTGACATAAACACACTAAACAGCAAATAATATTAAAGTGATAAATACTCACTGTTGTTTCAGCTTTATCAGAGTCACAAGGTGTTTCTCTGTTGTTTAAGGGTGAAGTTCTTTTAGCTGGAAAAGAAAAGTCACAAATCACCAATGGACGAGAGTTTAGATGTTCCACTGTCCATTTGGTCAGTGTAAACTCAGGAGATGGCAGCAGAAACTGGATGGAAATTCTGTCCTGTTTGAAATCTGGCTATTTTATTCACTTGTATGTGGAGATGAGCACTATAGCAAGTGCCACCTTAAATAGTTAAATACTATATTTAAGCAGCAATTTCAGTTGAAAGTCCTTCCTGTACATTAATTCCAGATATAGAGATAGTCCCTTTATATGAACACCTAGCATTGCTGGGCAATCAGCTGTAATGGTAATTAATGTACAGGCCACTGGCAAACACATGGCACCTGCAATATTTCAGACACTTTTGACCATTTTTGTGGATTAAAGGGGTTTTGTGCTTTACTTCTGCTGCCATTTAAGTTTGCATTTGTGCCAGTTGCTCAGTTTTTATAAACTCCAAATGTTCATTTCTAGAAATAACTGAAGGTTTGGCTCCGCCTTCATCCAATGCTGATAGCATTGATATCATCACGAAATGAGGGTATAGACAGTCCCCAGGCAGTGAGTGCGTTCGATGCTGGAATCTGTTCGCAAGTCGAATTGTACACAGGGCGGAGCACATTGCAGGACAATGGAAAGCAGCTATTTTGAAGTACAGGAAATGTTCATTTGATGGATCTCTAAAATTAAAACTGCGTGTGGGATTGCATTCATAAATACCAGCTCTCGTAAGTTGTAAATTGGGGACCCCCTGTAGCATGTTTCCCTATTCATCCACGTTCAATTCTGACAACGGCTGATTTACTTTAGCAACAGCAGCATCAATGGCTCCATCAATGAACTGCTCCACTTTGTACAGCTGAATGTGTGTTTTTCTGAGCATGTTTAAGCTGGGGAGTTACTGGAGCTGTATGGTGTCCAAAGTATTGATCGGGTATCAAATCACATTACATGCTGCTTGATGTCCATTCTATCCACTCTCCATACTCCCACGCTGCACAAGCCATACATGCTATAAACCCTCCATTACATGGCAGTCAGTGCAGACCATGCTGCAAGTGGCTGTGAGTAGACCCACACCCACCATTCTAAAGCCCATTATTAAACATTCAGTGCTGAAATGCATCTAAAGCTCAAATTGAACCATAGGAGGTGAGAGGAATATCAAATTCTTTGATTATATCTAAAGAAAGCAGGTACAGTAAATATTAAACCTTTCCTTTTAAAACACCTTATAAACCACACCATAATATTATCAGACAAACGTTCTGTCCAATTTTATAAATCCCCTTTGTTACTTTAATACAGGGAATAATTTCCTTTTATTTCATGTGGGATCGCTCTAAAGTCTGTGGGCAAAGGAATTTTACACAAGCATTTTAAGCCACACAGTTATATTTGAGCTATATGTTTTCTCAACAGGAGTAGGTACTTTTAAACTATAACATGCACATGGTCAACGTTTTCTCACCTGTAACAATATTTCTGATAGGTTTTACAAGAGCTGTAAATGCTGGTGCTTCAGGATGCCTGTGCTCCCACATTGGCTGCCAAATCACAAGACCACTCGCCAAGCGAAAGGTAAGATCTGATTCCTAAGAAAGAAACAATTTTAAATAATGCATCATTCATTTTGAAATGTCGAGTAAATTACATTTATTTAATCAGGATTTTATCCAAAAACTGTCAAATCACAATTGTTCAAATGAATATATTCTAGTCAATTTTCTGCAATAATTAATGCAAAATTTTGTCTGTTAATAAAAATAGAATAAGTCTCAATGATTAATTTCAGCTAAATTTTCACTTACGAGAATAGTGAATATTTTCTTGAGCGTGCATGAAAAGATGATATATACTGACATGCATCAAGCAACAACATTCAGCAAATTACTCATGCACAGCTGATTAAAATAACCTGAGTATTGTGCCATTTACAAGATAACAATGAATGATGGCAAATTTCTCCTTCAGGATTATATTAGTTTCAATTTTCACGTTTTGAGTGGCACGGTGGCTCAGTGGTTAGCACTGCTGTCTCACAGCGTTCGGAACCTGGGTTCAATTGCAGCCTTGAATGGATGAGTATTTAGAGTTTGTGTGTTCTGCCCATTTCTGGGTGGGTTTCCTCTGGGTGCTCCGATTACCTCCCACCGTCCAAGGACGTGCAGGAGTGGCAATGCTAAATTGCTCATAATGTCCAGGGGTGTGTGGTTTAGCCGCGGGAAATGGAAGGTTACAGGGATAGGGCAGGTAGATGGGTCTGGGTAAGATGCCGTTCAGACGGTTGGTGTAGATTCAATGGGCCAAATGGTCTCCTTCCACACTGTAGGGATTCTATGTGCTCTGTTAATTTTTTCTTTACTTTAAAAGTAGGACTGGAGTATGCATTTGGAGTTCTGCAGGAGACAATGGGCCCAGCCTAAAGTATATAATCCCTGTTCATTTCTTTAAAAAAAATTGTTCATGCAACATGAGCGTCACTGATTAAGGAGAATTTATTGCCCATATTTATTGCCTGGGGGGCAGTTAAGAGTTAACTAACTTGCTGTGGGTCTGGAGTCACATGTCAGCCAGACCAGTTAAGAATGGCAAATTTCCTTCCCTAAAGGATATTAGTAAACCAGAGGAGTTTTTATGACAATCAACCAAGGTTACATGGGTGCCTTTAGGCTAGCTTTTCATTTCAGATTTTTACAGAAATCAAACTTTTCCATCTTCAACCTGAACCTCTAAGGCAGCACAAATTTCAACCATGCTGGAATTTGAACCCATTTTCACAGAATATTAGCATGGGGCTCTGCATTATTAACCCATTGCTATTACCATTATGCCACCACCATCCTAGCAACATCACACTATTCAACCTGAACTGCTCAGGCACCATCAACTTGTTGGACAAGTTTTATAATTTTGGAGTTTTTTTTATGAATTGGCTTCATGATGCTCCAGTTTTCTCAAACTTAGAACATGCCTATTCTCAAGCATAAAATCAAACAAGCATGTGCCTGCCCGTTTACATTGGAGCTCCAAATTTCTAAACCAAATTAAACTGCTCACAAAACTGGGTTTGCTACTTAATTGGCATGAATCAATTAATCCAGTTTGCTGTGTCTTACATTTTCTGGATAAGCTGCATTTGTACTAATTATGTTTTATAAAGAATCTTTTTTTTTCCTCTGCAAGTACAGGAAAAATATAGCATCCACTACAATGATTTTGGACATTATTCAGTCAACTGTAGCTAGGCAACACAATTCATGCCAAATTTCTGCAAGTGCTACTGCAAATTTGTTGCAAAAATCTTTATAAAGGATTTCTAAATCCAAATGATGAAGTCTAATATATAGTCTAATATGAGTTTAATATAATATCTCCAGAATGACAACACGCTGAAATTCAAATGCTGCATTATAAAATACTTGCACTCTACTGTTTTAAATTTGCACCCTATTACATTATAGAATCATAAAACATAGGAGAAGGGCACTTTGCCCATCATGTCCATGCCAGTTCTTTGAAAAAGCTTTGCAACTCATTCTATTTCCTTGACCTTTCCCATAGCTTGTTATTTATATCCAAATCGTCTTGAAGGTCCTTATTAAATCTACTGCAAAACCCTTTGTGACAACATTTTTCAGCTCATAACTCACTGCGTAAAGACTCCTCACATCCCCTTGGTTTCTTTTACTAGTTACCTTGAATTTGTTTCCTTTGGTTACCAGCTGATCTTTCTAGTGAAATTTATTTCTCCTTTTCTAATTTATCAAATCTTCCCAACATATTGAAGTGCTGATGCATTTCCTCTTAACTTGTCCTACTTTCAGGAGAGCAATATCGGTTTCTCTAATTGCTCCATGTCATTCTAGTACCTCATCCTTGGTTCATTCTATTGAATTTCTTCTACGACATCTTCAAGGCTTTGCCAATCTTGTTAGAGTGCGGTGCCCAGAATTAGATGCAGTATTCCAGCTGAAGCCTAATTAGTTAATTATAAAGGTTTACCACAACTATAATGGAAGATTAATACACAGATTGAACTCAGATTGCAATGACACCATTATACGAGTTGCTATCTCAACTCAGCAATGGAGCGACACTAGGAGTAATTAGCTTACTGAAATATGATTTTCAAATCACTTTCCTAGATGTGTAAGGCTCCAATAACACTCAAGAAACTTGACACCATCCAGGACAAAGCAGCCCACTTGATTGGTACAACATCCACAAGTATCCACTCCCTCCACCAGCGACACTCAGTAGCAGCAGTGTGCACTATCCACAAGATGCACTGCAGAAATTCACAAAAGGTCCTCAGACAGCCCCTTCCAAACCCATGACCACTCCCATCTAGAAGGTTAAGGGCAGCAGATGCATGGGAACACCACCACATCCAAGCTCCCCTCCAAGCCGCTGACCATCCTGACTCGGAAATGTATCACTGTTCCTTCACTGTCACTGGCATTCCCTCCCAAATGGCATTGTGGGTCAATCCACAGCAGGTGGACTTCAGTGGCTCAAGAAGGCAGCCCAGCACCACATTCTAAGGGCAATAAATGCTGGCCAGCCACAAATGGATATAAAAAAAAAGATTTTCAAATAACAAAAGTGGCACTAGGTTTCAATAATTTTATGAAAAGTATTTATTACTTAAACATACCTTAATTCTATTGACAAGTGGTGCAAACAAGAAGACAAACAACTCTACAGTGGCCATTGAATTTGTGAATAGCTTAGGTCTTGTATGCTCCTCCTCCTCAGTGGCACTGCCTTGCCCAGGCTGGCCTGGAGATCCACGATTCTCAACTTGGTGAACAAAAGCACTGCTGCTTCCAGACCAACTGGACCCCCCTCCTCTTGAAGTACCAAAGGTGGTTGCAGTCTCATTACTGCATTCGAAAGGAGCATCCAGGAGCATCCAATGCAGTGTATGAAGAAGCTTTGTCTCTGCAACACCAAGTTTATCTTGATGGCCTGTAGTATGACACAAAACAATTTCTGTTAACAGTTTGGAAAGACTATTTAAGAACAAAGATCCCCTGATGATCTGGAACCACATTGATGTTCCATTTATTGATCCTCATTGTACTACAGCTGTTAAAGGGCTCACTCTCTTAAAGCAAATTTACATAATGCACATTTCCCGCACTTAAGCGGAACACAGGAGGGAAGGAGTCATTATTAAAAGCAATTATTACTTCCTGATGGTTTGCGATTGACAATCTTGCGCTAGTTTGGCAACATGGAATGCACCCACCAGTCTCTCCTAATAAGTGGTGTGCATCTTAAATTACAAAATATCTGGATAAGGAAACACATAAGTCAAAAAGAGAACCACAACTCCAGGTTACTGGAACATGCCAGTAACCATACCTTCCCCAGCGTGGTTTTCAATAAGCAGACTGAATATACAATCCATCAGGCCATGGCTTCATAGAATCATAGAATCCCTACAGTGTGGAAAAAGGCTATTCACCCCATTGGATCTACATTGGCTCTCCAAAGACCGTCCATCCAGACGCACCCTCTACCCCATTCCTGAAACCCAGCATTTCCCATTAATCCAGCTAATCTACACATCCCTGTGACATTACAGGCAATTTAGCAGGCCAATCCACCTAACCTGCACATTTTTGGACTATGGGAGGAAACCGGAACACCTGGAGGAAACCCACATAGACACAGGGAGAATGTGCAAACTCCACATGGACAGTTACCCGAGGCTGGAATCGATCCTGGATCCCTGGTGCTGTGAGGCTGCAGTGCTAACCACTGAGCCATCAGTCTGCTTCCACTGAGCCACCATGCTGCTCCTTGGGCTATAAATCAATTAATATTCTACTGAACAAAATAGTACATTGCAAAATCTCAAAACAAGAAAGATGCTTCTGCCTCGGTTATCTTTTTTTAAATATTCACAGGATGAGGTATTGTCCATCCCTAATTGCCCAGAGGGTAGTTAAGAGTCAACCAAATTGCTCTGTGTCTGGAGTCACATGCAGGTCAAACAAGGTAAGGATGGCAGTTTCCATCCCTAAAGGGCATTACTGAACCCATGTCTCTCAACATTGCTGAGGTAGCACTACAGCCGTTGAGGCTGTGTCAGTGCAGATCAAACAGAACTGTTACTAAAGCACGAACCAAGGCTAGGCTGATTCACTGAATTTTGTAAGATTGTTTTAACCTCTAAAAACATGTCTAAACAAAACAAAATGGAAATGATATAAAAATCAAAGCCATGACAACATTCAGTAAATCAAAAAGCATTGTGGAAGGTTAATATTTTCAATATGAACCCATGTTTAGAACTGAAAGATATTACAGATGAACTAAAATTAAGAAGGAAGAGAACATGTAAACATGGAAGGAATAAAGAAACCACAATTCACTCTTTATATGATTTCATATTTTCTATTTGTTGCAAATTAAATATGTACAGTACACCACATTCTATTCATAACAGAAAGGATATTATTTTAGTAAAATAGATTGGATGCTTTTTTCTGACACTTACACGGGATGCTGCAATATTGATGAGAACAATTAAACCATCTCTCTTACTCTGACAAACTCTAGGAACTCACTTTCAGCCTGCACTATACAGAAATAAAATTTATCCTATGACAAACTTAAAGAAAGCAATTAATAACTGAATCAAAAGGGTTTTCTCACAATGGAGCACCAAGAAAACGGGCTTCATGAAGTCCTTCAAAGAGGTTTGTGAAGCACTGTGGCAGCTCCACTAACTTGAAATTTGTGCAAAGCATGGCTACAAGCTTTTGAACTGCAAATGTAAGTTTGCAAATGCTGACACCACAATTCCTAGGCAATCCATCTGCTGTTCTTAGTCACAACATGAGCTTCATTTGTGTCTGCTTCTGAAATAAGGTCCAATTATGCCAGTGTTGCATTAATGTTGTGATACATTGCTGGAAACACTCTTGTATCCTCTCAGGGCCTTAAACAAGTTGAATTTACACTGTCCCTGCTTTTGGTTTGCTCCCATGTCACCATCTGGTATTAGCATTTCAGGCCTTGTGTGGCCAACAGACAAATGATCTATATAAAAGCAAATACAAATCCTTAGTGCCTAATTGATGCCACAATTTTAGAAAATGCTCAGCTGTTTAAATTTATTGAAGATGTCCTAAAATGCATGAAGTTTTATTCTGTCTTAATTTAGGCATTTGCCTGAATTCAGTGGTACAGCATCATTTTCAGCTTTCAAGTACCATTCCAAACATTTGAATACATAACAATTTGACATTTTAGTACCGTCTTCTGAAATAAGTTACTGTATTGATATTTACTAACAGAATGTTGACAATAAAAATCAGAAGTACTAGAGATGGTAGTGGCAGTGTATAATGGAAGGGACTGATTATAATTGACTGTCAAAATTTGTTGGAAAGGTTGGCTGTGCTTGAAATGAATCTATTCCCTTGTCTGGATGGCTTGCATACTGGGTTTTGAAAGGACGTTGAGGTGGAGATAGCAGAAGACCTTGTCATAGAATTTCAATCTTCCCTAGATACAGTGGAAGTGCATGAGATATGTTTGACAGCCCATAAACATAAACAGAATTGAAAGCATTGCTTGACTAAAAGCTTTACAAGGTTTCTTTTCTGTGGTCTATTTTGTAACTGGCTCAATGCTTAATTACACAAGCTAAGGAGATGTGAAGTATTCATAGTTTCAGTTATTGATACTTAAAAAGCCTGGTTAATTGGCGTTTTCATATGGTGTTGATGCAATAGTTTTTTTTTAATAAGAATATTATGAATAGTTGTTTTTTCAAACATTTTCACACATACTATTGTTATTAAAGGAATCAGTTTGGTGCAGAGAGCTCACTGGGTGAATGAACATGGAAGTGGAATGTGTTAACATTGACGGTATGAAGGGCAATTAGGATGGGGGTAGCATGAATAGGCATGCAGGATGAGAGGGCACGTTGTGAATGGGATGGTAGAGTGGTTGATAACGAAGATATAAGTGGTCATTGTGGGTTGGATAGGTTGGCATCAATGGGCCGCCTTAGGGAGCGGGTGGAGGGAAGGTGCATCAGAGGGTTTAGGTCTAGACAATATACATTTAACAAAACAACTAGGAAAGAGTCCCAGGAAACTGTGGCAAACCTCACAAAGAGCCTGCTGTACCATTTGGCCAATGACCAACTCTGATCGCTGTCCAGGAAAGTCAGGCTTGACATCATCCTGCACCCAATCCTTCAGAGTGAAAAGGTATACTGCTTGGGACATTTTTATCTGAGTGGGATGCGCCAGTACAGGAAATACCCCAACTTGAGTAACCTGTTTCAGGAGTGAAAAACTAATGCTATGTGTAGGATATTTCTTCTGGAGGTGGGAAATATAAATTGGAACCACAAGGGGAAATAGTCATGGTGTGGAGGCGATGGCCTAGTGATATTCTTGCTGGACTGTTGATCCAGAGACCCAGATAATGTTCTGGGGACCCAGGTTCGAATCCTGCCATGGCAGATAGTGAAATTTGAATTCAACAAATATCTGGAATTAAGAATCTAATGATGACCATGAATCCATTGTCAATTGTTGGAAAAAAACATCTGGTTCACTCATGTGCTTTAGGGAAGGAAACTGCCATCCTTACCTGGTCTGGCCTACATGTGACTCCAGACCCACAGCAATGTGGTTGACTCTTAACTGCCCTCTGGGCAATTAGGGATGGACAGTAAATGCTGCCTAGGCAGCGATGTCCTCATCCCATGAATGAATAAGGAAAAAAATTTAATGAGGTCCATCCAACCACACTTTCAAAGGTCTGGAGATGTGGTGAAGGCCAGACAGCTGTCTCAGGGTAGGAATAGAGGCAGGGCTTTTTAAGATTTAAACAGATCATAGTGCCATTTTTCTGACTGCCATTTCAATACATTGCTCTCAGTTTGTAAGGTTGAAGAACGTGTTTGAGGAGACAAGGATTTAGAACCTAAGGCAGGCAGTCCTCATTTTGTCAATGTGGACTTCAAAATCCTCTTCCAACGCCAAAAGGGAGAGGAGGGAGTTCCTCATCCCAAATGTTGAAAGGATGAAGACAAACTCCCTGTCTAAGCAGGTCTGGATGGACACAGCTATCATAGTCAGCAGAAAGTGTGTGTTGTGCAGTTAATGGATCAGAAAAGTTTCAATGGCATGATTCAGTGCAGCAAGGTGAATGTAGCCCCTAACCCTCCAGACAGGTCTCTGGGGATTTGATTTTGAAAGGAGCCAGAGGACGCATGCTGTTCCTGAACAAAGGAGGAGTGAGTGCCCACGGAATGTATTGACTTTTACTAAGGCTCAGAGCTACAATACTACTGAAATTCTGTCCGCACTGAAACCCACAGCGTTTAATGAATTGTAGCAGCTTGCATTGGCCAAATAGAACAGCAGTGCCTGTGTCACTCTCTTTTGTTCTTGTGGTGGCCCATTAATTAGAGCCTATGATAAAAAATTAGTTCAAAGGCTTCCGTGTTCAGTTTCAAGGAGCCCTGACTAAAGGTCAAAAATGTATAGTCGCTCCTAAAATGTGGTGTTGAGGGGTAAATGGGCTTTTATTTTATTGTGTGTTTTAGGCAGCAGAGCTAACCACTGAGCCTCATAGCAGTAGGGACTCCAGTTTAATTCCGTCTTTGGGTGACTGTCTGTGTGGAGTTTGCATATTCTCCCCCACGTCCGCGTGGGTTTCCTCCGGGTGCTCCGGTTTCCTCCCACGGTCCAAAGATGTGCAGGTTAGGTGGATTGGCCATGCTAAATTGCCCCATAGTGTCCAAGGTTGTGTAGCGAGGTGGATTAGCCATGGGAAATGCAGGGTTTCAGGAATAGGGTAGTGGGGTGAGTCTGGGTGGAATACGCTTTGGAGAGTCGGTGTGGACTTGTTGGGCCAAATGGCCTGTTTCCACACTGTATGCATTCTATGTAATGTTTTGAAGCCGGTTTGTTTATATGTAAATAGCTTTATTTGATTTATTTTATTTTTATTTCTTTCATGTCATAAACGTCTGTGTTATTGTTAAAAACAAAGCCGCAGCCTTGTGTGCTTACAAGTTAGTGAAAGACCATGATGTTAATAAATAAAAAAAAAGTATCAAAGCAGATTTGGTCCTGGAATCTGACTTGTCTAGTAGTTACATCAGCTACGTTACTATCGATGGCCAACGGCCATAATAGCTTTGACACTCGCTGACAGGTCAGTGGATCCAATGTTGTCTGGTGTAAACTTTTAGGTGACAATGGCCCAGACCGCTGTGACTGCCTGCCTAGAGATTAACAGTATCCTACAGCAGTAGTAGCTCGATCTTCAATAGCAGAGCTTATGCACCGTCTACCGCCTGTATGGTTTTCCTACCCCGCCCCTCTCCTTTATTTTCTAAACATCCTAGCCACTGTCCTTCCTGTCAAGAATATTGCTCCCATCACATCCGGAACTAAAATCTGACAGTCGCACTCCCATTGCCCGCTATTACCTTCCCAGCGCTCAGCTGAACTTCTTCAATTGTGTGTAGGAACCTCAACTCCTGCTGCTATGAATTCCTGATAATAAGAGGATTGTGGCGTCCATGCACTGCCTGAGCACCAATTGCCCACTCTGTTTAAAATCTCTGCTGGCCCAGCGGTACCACCACCTCCTCCGCTATCTTTTTGGCCTTAATACAGGCCAGGTAGGCTTTAAGTTGTGACACCATTTACACCTCTTCATAGGAAAAGTGAACTTCCTCGTCCCACCACCATTTTCATGCAGGTTCTGGAAGGACGATAAGAACTGCTTTGTTGGACAGTTGATGATCAGAGGGACAGCCTGCTGAGGACTCAATTGCATTCTGACAGAAAGTGTTAAATATTTTTGCTCAAATCCAAATTGAACTTGCATCAAATTAGATGTACTGCAGCGTAGGGTTATTTTAGTTACAACGATTTTCCCGAAAGAATCTTTTGTAAAAAAAGTAAGTTGAGCGTTATATTGACCAGCATTATTTAAGTGTTGAGATGCACTAGAGTATCTTTCCCAATTAAGTTACATACGTTTATACATATCTCAATGATTATATGCATTCAAAACTGAAGAAAATGCTGTGTAATCTCTCGTTTAATCCTCCAGTGATTAAAAACACCCAGAGTCTTTTTAAATAGAAAGATATTCCTCAGCATATTTCACAAAGGAAAAGGAAGCAGTTACTTGCTCCTGCAATGCTCAGTGAAAGGGGGAGAAGGTATTCTGGTTTCAGCGGTTCCATTCTTTACATTTCTTACAGCTAATTCATTATGGCTTTATTTCAAACACTTGAGAAGAACCTATCTTAGCAGGGGCACACGTTCCCCTTATGATTGGCAGTTTTATGAGTTTATTAAATGATTGCTGTGTTTGCTTTATCTTTGCAAGTAAGTGATTATTTTTAAGAGCAGATTGACCATTTAAGGCAATTTAATTTTTTTAAAGTGGTATTTATAAATGTGTATGTTTGAATAACTGACCTTGGAGATTGCTTTAAGCTTATTAGTTTAATGTCAATTTTAAAAGACATTCTGGGGTCTGTTCACAGTGGATATTGGGTGAGTGGCTATAGCGGGAACATGAGGGGCATTGAAGGCATGGGATGCATGGTGAGTTGTTGGGAGCAATGTTGAGAACAAAGAGAACAATGTTGGGAGCTGAGCTCCTGTCACTGAGAACTAACAAAAGCCTCCTAAACAGCCTGACTCCACACTCACTCCACTCCTGCACTCATTCCGTACTTGTATCATGGTTCACAAAACCCAATCATTTTATGTCCATGTCGATGAACCAAAATGATGATGGGAATGAGATTAAGAAAAATATTTTCATTCCAGAAACCAAAAAAGGCCACAACTCTAATTTTCCTATTCCCACGTTAAAATCTGGCCATATATATCCCCATTTCAAAATTTACATTCAATGGTTTCAAAACTAAAATGCCTATTAATTAGCAGAAATTGGATGTGGCCAAATGACAGATTTTGTAGTTTAGACAAGGGAACATGACCTCTGTGCATCATTCCAATAAATTTCAACTTAGAAAATTCCAACTGTTGAAGAAGGAATTATGTAAATGTGCTTTTGTGGTGATAAATGTTCCATGTCTTAGCATTGGGCACTCCACGTCTGTTGAGCTGAAAGCGCTACCATTTACTCTACTGGCTGTATCATTTTTCACAGAAATTATTTTAAATTTTACCCTAACTCCTCAAAAATGATTAACAACAACAGTGAAAATAATTTGTCAGCAATTAAAATGCATATGTTATGAACGTGGATAGTATATTTAGAACCATATTTTATTTGTTCCATCATCCCTACTATGTGTCATTAATCACAACAAAACTAGTCCATGTTTTTGGACAAAAACACGACTGACCGTACCTTGCTGCTTGGCTACAGAATAACTGAGTTTTATAACTGTGAGACTTTCTTATGATTTGTTAGTAATTAATATTTTTGGACTTATTGTCATAGAATCATAGAATCCCTACAGCATGGAAGCAGGTCATTCGGCCTATTGAGTCCACACCAATCTTCCAAACAGCATCCCACCCAGACCCACCCCCTATCCTATCCCTGTAACCTTGCATTTCCCACAGCTAATCCACCTAGCCTGCACATTCCTGGATACTATGGGCAATTTAGCATGGCCAACCCACGTATTCTGCACATCTTTGGATTGTGGGAGGAACCGGAGCACCCAGAGGGACCCCACGCAGACACGGGGAGAATGTGCAAACTCCTCACAGACAGTTGCTCACAGCTGGAATCAAACCTGGGTCCCTGGCGCTGTGAGGCAGCAGTGCTAACCACTGAGCCACTGTGCCACCATTGTCTACATGAATTTATTAACAGAAAAATTCAATGTTAACCAACATCTTTTATTTCCGTCTTTGAGAACATTACCATATTAATTAATATTAATTACAGTTCTAGCTACCTTGCAATGCACACATAAAAATAAATTGATTTTCTATACATAAATATGCAACATGTACTCATTTGTGGAAAATACAAGTGCAGTCCATCTTCCAAACAAAAAAGCAGGCAGAGGGGAATGCATAAGAGCTCACCAAGTTTATTCCGATTTGACAGTAGTGTAGCTGTACAGTGGAGTACATGAGGCAAGGCAGCCTGTATTAGTTCCCAACGTGTTATGCTCTGGATGGCCTCAGAGAGAGCAGGCGAGAGGCCATGCAACTTGCTCTCCACCAAAACACGTTCAAAGGACTAGAAACCAATAAAAAATAATTACAAATCAATACTTGCTTGTGGGAGATAGAATGGACAACTTGTGGGTGTGTTGTAGGTGAAGACTTGTGCTGAGTTTACAATTGTATTTCATTAAATCTTGCATTTATAAAAAAACATATCCATCAAAGAATGGTGATTAAAAATGTCATCTAGTGAAACAAATGTTAAAAAGGAATAAAGAACGTATGTATAATAGCTTGAACATCTTTGTACCAGTCTAGATTAATACTAAGGGACTGGTATTTTTGTGAAAATTAAAATATTGAAAATGTTAGTAACATAGGCAATTAGATGAATGATGGTGGGTAACCTTGTTAAAATCTTGGGATATGTTTCAGTAATCCTGTTCTTTCCTTTGTTATAGATCAATGGCTAGTTGAGCTTTGTGAAGAAACGAAGATGTATTTTCTATCACAGTTAAAGTTCATCAATTATATAGAGGCTTGTTGAAATGTTCTGGATCACCATAAAAGCATAGACAATGGAACTAGGAGTAGGCCATTACACCCCTTGAGTTTGTTCTGCTAGACAATCAGATCATGACTGATCACCTTATTTCAACATCATTTTCACTCACTTTAATATGTAGAAACCTATCAACTTCTGTCTTGAAGATACTCAATGATTGCACATCCATAGGTCTCTGTAGTAGAGATTTTAAAAGATTCATCATCCTCAGAGTGAAAAGAAATTCTCCTCATCCTCGCACTTCATTAACTTGGTGACTCCTGGTGCTATACACTCCAGCCAGAGGAAATATCCTCCCCCATCAAACACTTGCCCAATCTCTCGCCGTTTAAGAAATATTCTGAATTTCTGTTTTTCCCTACCAAAGTGGATAATTTCCCAATTTTCCACATTACATTCATCTGCCATATTCTGGCCAAATCAATCCCCTGAAACCTCTGCATCTTCCTCACTTCTCACGATTCCAACTAGTTTTAGCAAATGTGAAAATATTAAATTTGGTCCCCTCATCCAAATCTTTGATGTAATTTGTCAATAGTTGGGGCTGAAGTGCTGATCCTTGGGGTACCACACTGGTCACAGCCCACCAACTTGAGAATGAGGCATGTAATGCCACATGTAGCACGAAAACGTTTTCTGAAAAAAATCACATCATAATTTATATGGCCTTCCAATACACATATATTGCCAGTCCAGAGGGAGGGCAGTAGCTACACACTAAGGGTTCAATTTACAATGAAAAAACAAAAAAATCTGACAAATCTATCCTGGGATGAATTTAAATTAAGAATTAATTAAGAATTGAATTGAAGTATCTTGCAGCACGCATCATCGATTTTTTTAACTATCGAAACAACAAAAACACACGGCATATTTCTGTCATTCAATAAACGGTGATTAATTCTCTTTCTGGTTTTAGGGAGAATGCTTATCATTAATAGCAAGGATAAAGAAACCATAAAGATTTTTAAAAATATATGAATGCAAAATACTGTGGATACTAGAAATCTGACTCAAACACGAAGAAACTGCTGAAGAAACTCAACAGCATCTATGGAGAGGAAAACAGAGTTAACGTTTTGAGTCCAGTATTACTTCATCAGGAGGATTTCTTTTCATTTCGTATCAGGACGAGTCTGATTCTGCAAAGCAACATCTATTGACTATCCCCAACTACCCTAACAATGGTGGTGATGGGGCTATCCTTGAAATGTTGCAGTATGAGTGTTCATGGGTACAGGCTAAGGCAATTCCATAACGATTGGCAAATCCATAATTTTGGCTCAGACACAATGAAGAAACATTGCTGCTTGCCTATGTTAAGATAGCATGTCTCTTCAGTAGAACTTTAGATGAAAAGCATTGTTGGTTTTTTGAAATTTTATTAGAGGTTACGGTGCTTTGGAATCCTATAAAAGTAAGTTTGCAAATTTTACTGCAATACTACTTCTAAGCAGTAATGATTGAAGCTACTGTGAACTGGTCGTGAAAACTGAAATTTATGAGTTCAATGGTAAGAATGCATTACAAATATGAGAATTATAAAACTGTTGTGCTTTGGGACAAAAATGAAAGGCAGTCATGTGATCTATTCAAAATTGACCTAACCACAGACCTGGGCTGTTAAAGATTAAACAAATCCACAGGTTGTTTTGCTGGAAAGAAAATGTTGACATTTGGAAATGGTGGTAGCATCATTTGTACTTAATGTGCTTAGAGTGGTAGTCTCCAGTGTCCCTGGAAGGTGTTGAAAATATGAGGTGTAACTGTCCATTTACTTCCAATCAGCATTTTCTACCATGTTGCAAGGTCCATATAATTCACATTACAGGGGTGGGTTTTGAAAGGAGATATCCTTGAAGCTCATGGACAAAAGCAATCTTCCAGCATCTGACAGTAGGAGAGGGCAGCTAATGGCTGAAAATCCCTTCGGATCACAATGCAGGAATGCCACTGGGAGCTCATGCTCGAACTGCAAAGACCAAGCTCATGAGAATTGGAAATGGAGCTGGAAACATTTGGGGGAGAATCATTAGTAATACCCATCACCCTGAAAAACAACTCTGGGCAAGAAAATGATCAGAAATAGACCCTCAGGAGCCACTTTGGACTCATTCTGGGAAAAACAAAAGTTTGGTGTAAAAATACAGATGTGAACTGCAAGTTCTATTCTGTAGTTTCTTGCCTACAAAAACAATGTTCAGTCAATTGTGCTTTTAATCTGTTTGTTTCAACAACGTTTTAAAACATGAAATCTTGCTGTGGTCATCCTCACAGCTATTAACTGGACATTTGTGGGTTTTTTTTTTTAAAAAGTTACCATCTTGACAGGAATTGCAAAAGGTGCCACTTGTGAGGTAATGATAGTAATAGCACATACTGAAAGCAGGTTCTTACCTAAAATGTGGGTCAGGTTTTAGAAATGGATAGAAATGCTTTATCGTTATGTCAGCAATTAAAGTAAACATTCAATATTAAAATAAGATAACGTACCACACAGGAAGCTTCATACTGTTTTCCCAGCTTTGGTCTTAGAAAGGCACTGTAAGATAACAAACAAAAATGGTACTGTTTAAACTGCAGTGCAACTTGCTTTAAACAATTTCCGGATTAAGCACATTAACAGCTTAATATGCAGTTCTATTTTCACATATCATCTATTTAGCTCCTCCAAAATTACAGAAAACATAAATAACTTAATAGGAAAGAGTGCCTTTATCAGTATGACATTAAAAATATAAATTACAAACTTTAACACCCCTTTGTTTTCTTTATTTCTAACGTTCTGATATATGTTGGTTTATAAAGAAATTATTTTTTAATTAAAAGACCAAAAACACTGGTTTGAATGAGTGATCCCGTTAACGACAAAACTGATTTGATTAAAGTACACAACTGAACAGGGCCAAAAAAATCTCGAGCAAATGACAGCACTTCTGCAGATGGTAATTTAGTTCTCTCACAGCAGCAGGATAAAGGACACTTACTGGGTAGTTTTCTAATACTTAAACAAAAATTCAACAGATCAGAAAAAAGGACTGGAAAACAAAGACTTGAAAAACATTACTCCTTACTTTTATAACTGTTTGAAGGCAGTGGTGCTCTTGCAGAGTCACAAAAACCCAGGTCTGGTAGCAGCTGTTCCTTTTTTAAACTAATTACTTTATGATCTGCCTTCTCTGTTGAAGCACAGATGGTGAGTCAAACTAGCAAACAGATCAGCTGACAATGTCTTATGCTTATTTATCTGATCACAACCATATTTCAACAAAGGACAAAAAATTAAGAGGGACAGAAAATAATAAAACAGAAAAAAATAAATAGTTGGCAAAAGGAGAGATTTGGGTGGGAGGAGGCAGCGATAGAGGGGGAAAACTGATCCTTCTAAACAGGAAGAAAAATGTTGAAAAATATAGAAATAACAAAGGTCACATCCAATTTCTGATCTGCAGCCACAGTACCATAAAATCTTGCACAAGTATGGGAAATGAAACAGTGACTGTACAAAGACAAGGTTTGTGGAATGCACTCTGTTCCTTGATACTCAGAGGATGGCCAACACATCTAGCATCTTGCTATGCATGTCATCAAACTTCTCCTGTATGCTGCCCCATCACAAAGTCTTCAACCGAGACCTCCGCAGCAGAACTCATCTGAAACATCACCTACTGGTGAAATAGAAAACAAACCATCCTTGTCTCCTAACTTGGCTGCCATCCACAGTGGTGTTAAGGCCAGTCAGATCAGCCATGATACTACTGAATGGCAGAACAGGCTTGATGCACTGAAAGCATACTTCTACTCCTGTGAACTTTCATGCCTGCATGACACACCATGTGCTGATCCCAACTCTATACTTGCTTCAAAGATCCATGCCCGTCTCTGTCTGGAATTTACCTATGCCTGAAAGCAGATTAGGGTGTGCTGAGAGCTGAGAAGGAGCATAAAGCAGGAAGAACTATCTTCAATCTTCTCAATGAAATGGATACAATGGAACACATTGCAACAAGCCCACAATACAGAAAGCCAATTATCCCACCTCCTCTGCAAGGCTTAGGAATGTAGGCATCCTTGTAGTTTGCTCCCTGCACTGTGTGCTTCGTGTCCAGAAGAGGGCAGGATATTAGTGATGGCGTGGCACTGTGTTTGGGTGATGTACATGAGATAACCCAAAAGCTAGAGGTACATGGATGCAGCATGAGTGTCAGGATTTTAGGACTGGTAGGTCTATGAGCGTGGGTTGGAGTTTCTGGATGTTAGGTACAAGGCCTGGGTGCTAAGTGGGCAATAAGGGTGCGATGCATTCAGAGGTGTTTGAGTTGCAGTGAGTAGGAGATGCATTCGGTGCTTTTGAACAACATTGAGGCCATCAGACTTCTTATGGGGCTATTTCTAAGTCTTCGGGCATAAACACCAGGAGTTCATCTCCCTTGCCAACACTCTCACTCCCTTCTGAGTGTAGCCTCCTGACCCGATGTAAAAGCCTGTTTTCTCTCCTTTTGCCCACCCCAGAGAGTGGGGTCTCTAATGCTGCATTCATCAGGCTGAAATCCTCTCTCTCTGTGCCCAGTGTTTGATTTAGCAAGTTTTTACATTCCATTAACTTTACTTGATGCAGCTTCTCTTAAAGGAAGACAAGCAAGTCGGTCTATCCTGAAAAAAACATAGGCTGGCATAACTACATGGTATCAGCAAAATGCTGATCAACAAACTGTAATCTTGCCTGGTAAGTGTAGAGACTAGTAATGTCAGAGGCATTGAGGGTGTTCAGCCCCATGAAAGTAGAAGACAGTGATCTTTGTCTGCGAGGGACCGCCAATGGATGAATGAATGAACAACTCAACTGGACTCACTACATAAACACAGTGGTTACAACAGCAGGTCAGAAGCGAGGAATACTGCGGCAAGTAACTCACCTCCTGATTCCTCAAATCCTGCCCACCATCTACAAAGCACAAGTCAGGAGTGTGCTGGAATACTCCCCACTTGCCTGGATGTGTGCAGCCCCAACAACACTCAAGAAGCTTGATACCATCCAGGACAAAGTAGCCTGCTTGATTGGCACTAAATCCACAAACATGCACTCCCTACACCACCACTGCTGAGTAGCAGCAGTGTGTACTATATACAAGATGCACTGCAGAAATTCACCAAGGATCCTCAGACAGCACCTTCCAAACCCATGACCACTTCCATCTAGAAGGAACAGGGCAGCAGATGCATAGGAACACCACCACTTCCAAGTTCTCCTCCAAGCCACTCACCATCCTGACTTGGAAATATATCGCTGTTCCTTCACTTTTGCTAGGTCAAAATCCTGAAATTCCTTCCCTAATGGCATTGTGGGTCAACCCACAGCAGGTGGACTGCAGCGGTTCAAGAAGGCCACTCACCATCACTTCTTCAAGAGCAACTAGGGATGGACAATAAATGCTGGCCAGCCAGCAACACCCACATCCCACAAAATGAACAAATTTTTTAAAAAGCCCCATGTTACAATCATAGTAATAAGGTGGGAGTATCAAACGTGTTTGCTTCTCACTTATGACCACAGTAAAAATGGACAATTCATATTCCATTCGATCATATGATTTTATTATGAGACCTTCATATACTAAAGTGGCTTTTAAAAAAGGACAAATTCTGATCTAAAATGGCTGTTGTGATCACTAGGCCAACGATTGAGACGAGCTTTGTTAAACCCACTGTGAGATTTTCAAAACCCATCTGCCCTGAAATTATAATCTCATCCAAAGTCAGTGAAACCAGACAACTAAGTCAGTATTGATGAATTTGCATCCTGTCTAATTTGCAAGTGTACACTAATTTCACAGATTGGGAGTCAAAAGACCTGCCTGCCAGTTAACCGGATTAGAAAAACAATGAGCAGACTCTGCAATATATAAGTCAACCTATGGCAACAGCTGTTTCTGGGCAACAGAAGCAGAAACAAGGAAAATTGATTTTTAAACTAGAACTGGAAGACACTCTCTCTGCCTCCCTGTCTCGCTCTCTCTCTGTTTCATAACACACACGCTAACACAAATGCAACTGAAAATGCAACCTGGAACAACCACCATTCACTGAGAATTCAGGTTTAGAAATCTTGCCAATGCTGAAGAGGCAAGTAACAGATAAACAGTCTGAACTCGGGCTTAAAATTAACACATTGGCTTTACTAATTGGGGCATGGACACACTGTAGGGACTCTATGATTCTAAGGTGATGCTGAACTTGCACAAGACACTTTTCAGACTACAGCTTGTGTACAGTTCTGGATGCCACATTATAGTAAGGATGTGAACGAATTGGAGACAGTGCAGAAACAGTTTACAAAAATGGTTCCAGTGATGAGGAATTTCAGGTTTGAGGGTTGATTGAAGACCTTGGGACTGTTTCCTTGGAGAGAAGAAGGATAAGAGAAAATCTGACAGAGGTTTTTGAAATCATGAGTAGGCTGGATACAGTGTTTAGGGAGAAACTGATCCTGCTTGTAAAAGGATCATGAAGAAGACGGTGTAGATTAAAAGTGACCTGCAAAAGAAGCAAGGGTGAAGTGGGGAACAATTTTTTTTCACTCAACAAGTAGTTAGGAAATAGAGTGCACTGCCTGGAGCTGTTATGGAGGCAGGTTCAATTCAGGCACTCAAGAGGGCATTGAATATTAAGGTAAAAATAATGTGCAAGGGTATAGAATAAAGCAGGATATTGCCACTGATTAATGCTGCTCCTTTAACAAGTCAGTGTAAGAAGTACAAGCCAAATGGCCTTCTTCCACACTGTAACACTTCTGTGATTCTGTGACCTCAAAGACTTGATCTTCATGATAGAACCCTTTTTCTGCCCAACACTCTATTTTAACATATTTTAAATCCCATCAACTTTATTCAATGCAGATTCCCTTCAGAATATGGTTTCTACCTTTGTGTTTGCACAGACACACCCCACTTCTTTTTAAGCTGACTACCTGGTTGGTGCATACATTTGATTTCACATTTTGATCACTTTTCTCTCAGGGTCAGTAAGCAATAAAGTTCCTCTTTTTTTCACCCAAGGACACCTTTAAATGGCTCCTTCATTTTGAGCAAAAAACTGAAAGAGCTGCTTTTTCTGAAGAAAGGTCACTTGACCTGAAACGATAATTGTGCTTTCTCTCCACACATGCTGCCAGAGTGACTGAGTTTTTCCAGCAAATTTGGCTTTTGTTCCTTAATTTTGACATTGTTAGCTAGGTTTTAAATGAATTGTGACAGGTGTTTGCTAAAAAGCAAAGAAAAAATATTTGTTACAATCGAATGAGAGAGGTTTAAAGTTGGCCAATTCCCCCTCTTCACCTAGTTGCAATGCCCACCTCCAACAGAAATAGCACAGGCAAGTCACAAATTGCAAACACATGCCCAAATAAATGGGGCAGATGAATTCTGAGGCACACTGATTCTTGACTTGTACTTTTAATACATAACAATATTGTCATAGAGCTAGAGGGCCATAGGGCTGTTATCTCATTACAGAGAGATGACTGGTGGTGGTTTAACCTGACCG